GTTGAATAGGTAACATTATTAATCGTCTCATTTTCTTCCTCTTATTTGCATTATTATGTTTTCTTCCTCTTTATGGATGAATATCGCGATTTACAGCGATTCTCTTGAAGGGCGGATATTGCATTTGTCTCGATTTTATAAGGAAAATGAGGACAACATAACACCTTCTTCGGTGCTGTTCTTCCAAACCTCATATGATGACTCAGTTAAGGTGCAGCTTCATAAAATGGGTAGGTTAACATCGTTGTGCGTTGTAACTATAAAATGTACTCTCACTTTTGATCACTTGCTTAAATTTTCTCACATTAAGAAAAACATTTAGACCTTAATATGAAGTACATAAATAAATAGATAAAAACTTAGTGGAATTGCAAATGCGAGTACTAGTTCTCTCAACTTTCCTCCTCTCTCCATGAAAAGGCCAATTTCAATCAACTCTGTTACAGGTTTGAAATCGCCTCTGTACGAATACAAGTACAATGAGCCTTTGAAGCCGGATCAGAAAGAATTCCCTAAAAAACCCCAACCTTTCGATTTGTAGGTTTTTGTACTTTTGTTTAGCTTTGCATGTGCTATAAGTTCAATAAAATGGTAAGCTTCCTTTCATTTTTTTTTGATAATTCGCTTTTCTCAGGTATCTCGACATGTATCGGGATCCTAAGGAAGTGGAACAAGAACTTTTGGAGGAAAGATTGAAACGCGCTCAGCTAGATGACTATCAGGTGGAGGCAAACTTTCTTATAATCTCTTCAAATTTATGTAATCTCTTTCATTTTTTAGGCACCAAAATGGTTAGATCCAAATTACAACGAAAATAAAAAGAATTTGCCCGCTTGGCAACATCGAAGGATTCTGGCAAGAGATGGACGTTATCGAGCTTTATATAATAATGCATTGAAGTCTAATTTTTGATTTTCTAGTTGTTTACATAGTTTATATATTTTGTTATGTTGTTATAGTCTTCTCTTTGTAACATAGGATGCATATAGGATAAAGTGCAGTTTAGCAGTATGAGGTTAGTGAAAAATATCCATATTTCTTATGATATTTACGTCTTTATTAAATTTGACAATTGAATTTCAAAACTCTTTCAAGTCAAAAAACCCTCATAGGAAAGATTTTCATGTATTGCTGGGTAAATTTCGAGTAGAAGATATTTGATATTTTTCCACTTTCTAACCCACTTTTTTAACAGGTTATCCTTCAGCCAATTCAAGAGCAAGACATCAGTAGTTAGTAGAGATACTCATAAAGCATCAATATCTTGACGAACCAATCA